GTGGTTTAGCATCTAGATGAGTTCTCTGTGGCGTAATGGGCTCAAGGGGGATGCGGAGTCTTTAGAGTTACTAAATGAATGGCCTGTGAAGAGGGAGTTGTTTTGAGGTGCAGGATCGGCACCCACCTCCCCGGCCTGGAAAGTACCCTCACCACCCACGGCAGGGAAGCTCAGACCTCCACGACTGGCCCTTTCCTCCTCCTCTGTCCTCCCTCCCCTCCCCTTTCCAGCCCCTGCTCCTGGCCCCGCTGCCTGTAACAGGGCTGACACATGCTAACCAAGACCAGAGCACCCACTGTCCACCCAAAACTAACCACTTCTTTCTCTCAAAAATGTAAAGGAAGACATACAGGTGGTAGGCATCAGGGGCTCTGGAGCTAAACCACCAAGCAGAGGCAAGAGAAGAACAAGAGGCCAGGAGCCACACTTGGTGCAAAGACCTGATGTCAGTGAGAGGAAGAGGCCAGTCATCGGAGGAGGGAGCAGAGGGCAGGGAGACACCGAGACAGGCAACAATGTGGGGCAAAGATGGAAAGAGTCTCCAGAGGGAACACCCACAGCTCAGAGAGATGCCACTGACAGCCTGTCTAGGTTCCCAGCTTCCTCATTCCCACGTCAGCGAGGCCGGCTTGTCCTCGTTTCCTACCCACGGATGCTCCTTGTGGTTCCTCCTTATGGCCTTACTACTGCCCCTCTTCATTCAGGCAGCCTCCAGGGGCTTAAACCCACAGAACCCCACCAGGGACAATGTGGCCCACTGGGAGTTCTGCTGAGTCTATGACTTATTTCCTCCTCCGCCTCCACGCCTGCCCAAGAGCTGGTGTGCACAAAGCCATCAAAATGCTCCCTTGACTGCCCAGCAGGGAAAGCCAACACCCGTCCTTTTCACCACAGACCCTTCACATACTAGCCTCACAGTGGAAAGGTCCCATTCCCCACATCCTATTCAGTTGTAGCCAGATGCTCTGAAGTACCCAGCACCAATACAATTGCCTTGGCATATAGTGACGAGGTTCAATCCAATTTATTTTCAAAAAAATTCTAAGTGTTTAATAAATGCAAAATTCTTCAATAGGAATTAGCAAAACCAGAGATAAGTTAAAAATGTTGTCAGCCTTTAGGAAGCTGTCAGTTCTGGGCACCAGGAGAAAGTGCTGGAAGAACACTTGGGAGGCAATAATTTCAACCAGAGGAAGTTGAAGTCAAACTGATAAGGCAGGGTTTCTTGAGGGAGACGGAAAGCAGCAGGTTCTGGGTGCCTCCAGGCAGGGCTTAGGGAATGGGGAGCACATGGTGTCCCTGGGTGGTTGGCACCCTGGGAATGGGCAGGGTCACAGGAAGGCAGGCCAGACTCACAGGGGCTGGAGGAGGAGGCCTGTGGGGCCACTAGGGAGCTGGGGGCAGGCAACGGGACCAAGGAAGGCCCCTGAGCAGGGAGCCACATGGTCAGGGTGCAGAGCCCAACTTCTGTGCTTTAGATGCTTATAAAGGTACCAGCCCTGAGATCAGTACAATGCAGGGGCTGTGGCTTTAGAAAACTGCTCTCTAATCATTAATTTGGATAATCTGCATATAAATGAGAACCACCTCCTGGTCCTGTCTCCCCATGTGAGAATAAGAGCTTTATGGCAGCTCCCACCTCTCCTAACAAACCCGTCACTCTCCCGTCACCTGGTACTGGTAGTGCAGGACCCCTTGGCCCAATAATAGTGAGGCTGAAAGCACTGCCTCCTCAGCAAGTTAGGAAACATAGATCCTGCCAGATTAGAAATCTAGTGAAAGCTCCCTACTTGTGGCCTTCTTATCTTCGTTTCTTAAGTTTTATTGGATATAACCGCCCTTATGTAGGAAGCTCTGCTGAGCTGGTGTTCATTATCACAGGGAAAGAAGTAGGTCTGATCATTCTCACTGGAGTGTCTTGGTGTCCTAGCCCTGCCCTGGTCAGCTACAATGTTGGCTCTCATTTGCAAAGCCCTTCTAAGGACCATGGAGAAGTGGCACTATGTATGCCTACTACCTGCTGCATGGCAGGATGCATTCTGTATGCAGCTACCCAGACAGGAAAGGGACAAGGCTGTGCTCTCACAGCTGTTACACAATCGTACGTGTCACAGGGAGGGCGGAGGACCCTGAGGCAGGAGAGGATGGCCAGCCACAGCCAGGAGAGGAGCTCAGAGAACGGAGTGCCCCTCTCAATCTGGGGCGGGCCTCACATAGGGACAGGCCTCTAGCCCGTCTCGCAGCCCAGGGACTGTGGCCCAAGCCAGCTTCCCTCAGCCCTGAGTGGCCCTTGCAGGGTCCCCAGCATTCTCTGGCTGTCAGTGTTCTCAGGCTGTCAGAAAACGACATTGCTAACATGCCTAAATCCTGCCAACCCACAATAAAATAACCCAAATCTCCTTTGAGCCCCATGGTCTTTGCAACTACTTGGACCACCATCTTCCTCAGGAATTCTTGGGACACTGAGGACGGGTCCATGGTGCGGGGTCGCACTCGAGGACAGACCTCAACCCACCCGGGAAACTGCAGGAAGGGAATGCCCTCATGATGCTTCCCAGTCACCCTGATGGCTTGGAGCTGCACAGGGCCATCCCCTGGGAGACCAGCCGGTGGGGTCACTAGCAGGACAGGACAGGCAGTGGGGCCACAGCTGCACTATCTGAGTGACTGAAGGCTGGGACCTGGCAGAGAACATTTATTCATCCAGACTCAGACTCCCATAAGCCGAAGTACTATTGGGTTTTCTTTTTCTTTTTTTAATTTTTAAGCTTTAACTGTTAGTACCTATTTATTTCCTACCAAAGCACTTTTTTTTCTGATAGGGAAAATAATTCTCCTGCCTACTTTTCTGTTTGCCTCCTGTTTTCAGTTTTCTGTTGGCTACTCACGTTCTTTTCATTTCAACGCCGGCAGCCCTGCAGGCTGGTTTCTGAGGCTTTGGGCCCTGGCATGGATTTCTGCAAACATGTATGCATTTTCTTTCTACTCTACAAAGCAATCTTCAATCTAACAGCTACTAAACTCTTCCCCAGTTAGTCAACCAACCTCAGAAATGGGGGGAAATGGCCAAATCCATTGAGAACTCTGCTTTCTGTACAAAAACATCCCAGTGCTTCAGAAAGCCCCTTATCTGCACACTTCACCCATGACAGAAAGAAAGACGGCTTGCAGATTTGCTGATGCTCATCCACCTAGCAGCCGGGCTGGGGGGGGCCCTGGGGTCCTCAGGATCTCATTAGCACACAGGGGCTAGAAGCCCTGAGCAAGTAGTAGAGCAGGCTGGGGGCCACACCACCCCGACAGAGGGGGAATTCCACTGACTCCCACCCTGGGACCCAACTCTGAGCTCTGATTCAGCCCTTCCACATTGAGGGAGACCCTGCAGAGCCTCCTCAGCACATCTGTAGGGATTCCATGGTCACTGTCTTTACCTCGTTAGAAATTGAGCCTTCTGCTTCCCAACAGTTGTTGCAGTGGTGGGAGAATGAAGGCACCCATGAGCATACAGTAAACACACTGTTTGCCCAGTCCTGTAATGAGCTCTGAGGGAAATACAAGAACAGGGGCAGACCACGTATAGTCTCTGTATCCTGAGGGGTGGAAGGTACAATATACTCAAGACAAAACTAGAAGGAGCAGGAGATAAAATCAAGCACCAGTGTGTGTAGTAGCTTAAGGCTGTCCTAACTCTCAGCCAACTCATCCATAAGCACCCTCTCCCCAAATCCACAGTGGGCATGTGCTCCAGAGACTAGGGCTGAACAAAGACTTATGCCCAAGACAGTAGTATACACAGAATGAGTTTTGAGGGGCAAGGTCAAAAAACGCAGCTTCAGGACCTTCTCCAGCTGGCCTGCCCCTGAGCCTTGCTCCATCTGTGGGAACTCTCGCCCCTTGCCAGAGAAGTGGTTCTGACTTTGCAAAGCAAATGTGCTTTTACTGGCTTGTGCATGAAGAGGGGTTACCACCTATGCTTTTACTCAGTAACCAAGGTGCTGAATGCTCTGAATTATAACAACAAAATCCCTCCCATATTTGTCAACCAGCAAGGAAGATCCTTTCAGTGTAAAGAGGACTTCTAGCCACAAAAGGCCAGTGCATTCCTTTTACACTTAATTCACTTCCCTTTTTGTTGGCTTGTTTTTGTGTGTGATTTTTGTTTGTTTCCCTTAAAAGTAAGCCTCTGCTTCCATTTATTTCCTTGGTCCATTTCTTGCCAGTTACAGTGGTTACGTAGCCCCACACAGGCAGAGCCTTCCTTCCCTGAGCCTGCTCCTAATGCAGCACTGAAGACAAACACAGTTTATGAAGTGATGACAAAGGTTTCCTCTGGGCTGAAACTGCTTGTATTAGAGTTGCAGAGCTCCTTTCCCATGCTGGCTCTGTGGCGAGCTGCTGAAATTCCCTCTTCTTTAACCTCCCTACCACCCGTTCCCCAGCCAATCCACCCTCCATTCGTTGTTGTAGGAAAACACCCCCAGTTGCAGCTGCATTCAGATGGGATACCCATGTTAGGGCCAGGGTGTGTGTTAGGGCCAACATGGGTTGGAAGTCAGTGGAATTACACGAATACACAAGAAGAAAGGTTTTCTTCTTTCAATTTTGTAATGTACAAAAATATTGAAACACATTAGTAAGAAAGCCCCATGTACTAGGAATGTGTGCCTAACATAAACTAGCTCTTACAGGGTTCTTAAATGACTCCTTGTTGAGGCAATATGAAGAGATCAGAAGGGAGCAAAGAAGCTAACTATTAAAATGCAGTGTTTAACATGACAGACTCACTTTCCCACTACTAGGTGTTGAAGGCCTAATATGGCCAGGACCTGGGCTACAGTCCCCTTGGAACATCCCAAATACCTCCAGGAAAGAAGCATTCCTATCTCTGACCCTCTCCCTCCTGGGCCCCAGTCCAATATAATGCTTTGAAGGCTTTTATGCTTACGGACTCTCAGTCAAACCCCCAGTCAAAAGACAATGTGGGTCATGTTGAAGCTTACCCTGCCTGGGAAGTCCTGCAAGCTGGAGCACCCTGAGGCTCCCCAGGGACTCTGGGTGCATGGCGGCTGTGTGCTGGGTCGCTCGTATGCCCTTCGCCTCCACACGTCTCTCTGGGGGCCAAGGCTGCAGGGCCCTCCTCACACCCATTCAGCAGGCCATGGCTGACCCTTGCTCCTGTCCTCGCTTGCCGGCGCCCCTCATCATTACCTTCGCGTCGTGCTGGGATATTTCTTGACAGTTTGTATCCATGAGAGATCAGGAGGTCTTCTACACTGTACATAGTGCACTGGCCTCATCAAAGCCTTGGCGCTGGGACCGTTGTGATGACAGAATGCACCCTGAGGGGACAAGAGAGAGCATTTTTGAGGAGCCACTGATTGTCCCTGGGCCTGTGTCTGACACCCCCTCCTCCCTTTACCCCTGTGGTGAACACAGCATGGTGCTGGCGTTGAAAGTGAAGAAATGTGGGCTGCTCTGCCTGAAACGATTCTCCATCTTAGTCACATAGAGAGGGAGGATGCGGCATGGGCCCTGCAAGATGTGGCAGTAATTCTGGGGTCCTCACCCTCTGCTTCCCTCGGGGTTGTCTGGAAGAGTGTTTAGGCAATGGGATGATTAACAGTGTCCACCATGCCCTGGCCCCAGCCATGCGAAAACATCAGACTTAAGGAGTGAGGACAAAATAAATACAGACTCAGAAGCTACACTATTGCAAGTTTCTAAAAAGAGAAACTAATGGAGTCCAGCCTAATTCTTATTACTTGTTCCTGCTTTCATTTCGTAGGCATACCTTTTGCTCTAAAAGGGCAGAGTGGGATCTTCAATCATCACATACCATGACAGACTTCAGTGGGAGCAATCTAGATGGTCACCATAAGGACGCCAACGCCAGGGTGGTTAACTAGTCACTGAAATCGTCTTTAATTACACCCCCATCACAGGACACAATTCCAAACCTCTCCTTTCCACGTGAAACTCTTAAGAATCACATTCCTCCCCAGTAAACCTTGGGGCGATGGCTTGCATTTTGTAGCCAAGGGTGCCCACATCCAAACCCTGCCCAGTGCATGGAGTTAATAGCAGCAACTGCAGCAGGGAGGGACCTAAAGCAACAGCCTCAGAGCGGTGGGCGGGGCCCAGCAGAGCACATGTGAGGAAGCAGGTGGGGCTGAGTGGTTATTTCTACATAAGAGAATCTTCTCTCCTACTCTTCCCATTGTTAATAGGGTGGAAGAGAGTTTGGTCACATGCATCTGTCACTGCCTCCCTAAGGCTGTGGAGCTTGTTGGGGGAGGAGCCCACAAAGGCTGGACTGGTAAGAACTCAGCCAGCTCCCACCCTGCTTTGCTTGCACTGGACAGAAACAGGGCTGCAAACAATGGCCAGGAAATGCCTGCTGGCCCGTGTGCAGGTGAAAGGGAGACTGTGCTTCCCGTCAGTGGGAATTCTTACTGGGACTTCTCACAGTTCTGCTGACTCTGCACATCCTGCTCTTGCTCACATGCTCCATGATGGCAGCAGAGAAGTCTCAGTATGAGCCTAGAGTACCAAACTTCTGAAACACCTCTAACTTTCCAGTAGGCACCTACATTTCATGGAAGGTTGACAAGCTCAGCAGTTAATGTACAAGAAGAACTCTCTCCATAGCAACCCTGACACTGCTGATACCCCTGCTGCTTGTCTTGCGGGCAATTGGACAACCTGGGTCATTCACTTAGACAGAAATGGAAGGCTCAGAGAGGCAAGGATTTGCTCTTTGACTGACTGAGCAACTCACTGGGTTAAAGACCAGAGGAAGGGGATTCCACTAACATAGGGCTGGGGAACATAGGGGCAAGGCTGTGAAGGATCTCTGTTTTGGTCAATGCTCACACCTAGCACATAGTGTGCTCTCTGTAAATGACTGTTGAATGAATGTACAAATGAAAGGGACTTCTGTGCTAAGTTTTGAAGCATGATTAGGAGTTCACTAGATAAACTGGACGTGCATGGGTATGAGAGAGGTAAATGGTATTTAAAATAGATTGGGGTACAACTATCCCAGGACTTAAGACATGACATAGCATCAGATCCTAGTGGCCCAGACCAGAGTCCCCAGACTTCCTGACTCAGTGTCACATATCCAGGCAGCACCAGTTAGAATTTATGTTTTAGGATGCTCAGTCTCTCTCTCTCTTTAAAAGCAAAGCAAAGTGCATGGAGCTCCAACTGAGCCACTCGACACACTGAGGAGAAGGCTAGTGTCCACCACAGAGCTGGCTGTGCTGCAGCCCACTGTCACAATGACTAGAGGAAATGGCCCTCACAGAACTGTAGGGAGTTGGTCTGTTATGGTCACGTCTGCATGGTGATGACATTTAGCAAGCCCTTTAGCAGCAGGGCAACCCAGGCTAAGCCACAGCCACCTTCCAAAAAAGATTCAAACTTGGAAGAGCCATTCTTTGACCTTACAGGTCTGGGGTCAAAGTGTAATGATTACCAGAAACTCCAAGCTTGTCTCATTTCACTGAGGCCAGCAGCATATGGGGAGCAGGCCTAGGAAGAACACCAGCTTCTGCCATGCAGGAGAGGTGAAGGGAGGGAGGGAGGATGACCCACAGGTCTCATAACGCAAATGAGTGTTCCCAGGTGCCCTCCCACCCACTAGGCTTCTCCCCTTAGGCTGACACTCTACATTTCCCCCATCCCAGCTCAGAGCCCGGCTTCTACCTTAATTCCACACTGACGCTAAACATCACCTACCTCCTTGTGCAGACTTCTGAACACCCACATGTCTTTTTTAAATCCCTATGGTGTTCAACTTTCTTTCTTTAGCATCCTTATCTATTGAAGGCAGAATGGGCTGCCTCAAGAGGTAGCAAGACTAACACATCAAGTACAGGTATCAGTGAGGGGAGCTCACCACCGCTCCAGTGTCAAAGCACTGTGACAGGGACAAGGACAAGATGATATGGAAGGGATCCTCACCCAGTCTCAAGGTATCCAAAAGGCTTCTGGAAGACTGCTTCTAAGCCAAACAAAACCTGTACCTCAGGTAGACCAGCACTATAAGGTCACCCTAAAAATATGATTATCCAGACAGTTCATTTGAGAAATTTTTTCCTTCACTAGCTTATTTGTTTCTTGTTATATCAAATACTCATAGGGGACACCTAGGAAGAGTGGTTAAGGCAATACAGGTTGGCTTGATGTGATCTCAGCGGAGGAGGGGACTTCTAGCATTGGTTGGGCCAGGGCACAAGGACAAGAGACAAATGAGCACTTCACAAGCCCTTATCACTCTATGAATATCTGCATACCATTCATGCAGAGGAAATGCTCAACATAAGAACACACACTTCCCGGGAAAGTCCATCAGAGCGCACTACCTCTGTAAGTGGCAGGTTCCTGGCTGACAGGTTCTTAAGCAGAACTGGAAAAACTGATTTGTAAACCCTTTTTGTTTTACAGCAATCCACTGAAGGTGTGTGCACATACATCAATCAAAACTTTAAAGGCAAAATATTTATCCCCACATCCTGACATGTACTGTAATGTTTTCTATTCTATCTCACTTTTAAAAAATGCTGGCCACTACTCACTAAATTTCATGTGGCACCAAACAGCCACATCCTACAGTTTGGAAAGCACTCAGGTAAACGCCATGCCTGGGCTGGTCAGGATGCTAGACGAGCTGACCACTAGAAATTTTTCAAGTTCAAAGATCCTATCAGTCTCTGAGAAATTCCTGTTCTCAACAGCAAACAAAGCTGTTCTAGCCTGTCAAAGATTTTCTTTCCAAAAAAACTCATGGCCACTAAGTGAATCTATTCTTAAAAGCAAAAGATGAAAAGAAATAAATCTACATGGGGTTAATAAGAGCTGTCTTCTGCTACCATCCCCACTCTACTTACGACCTCCTGGGGCCAGATAGCTGCAGCCTCAGAGCAGAGTCACTGGCTGACAGATAAACCCAGGGTCGCAGAAACAGGAGGAAGCGTCGGCCCCTCCAGAAAGTAGTGAGTTCACAGGTTGCCACTTCCACTCACTCTTTGGTTTGAGAAAGTCAAGAGGCAGCTCCTTGCTTTTTTTGATTTCACTATTGTTCTCTTCATATTTTCCTACTATTCTCTGACCAATATACTCCTAAAGTAAGTCCATCATTTCAAAGACAAAATTTGTTAAAGCAGTTTAAAAACGACACCACCATAAACATGGACAGCCTAGTAAATGCTAGAACACAGATGCGAATGATGTTTCCCCAGGTAATACATGTTTAGCTGATGCTTCTCACCCCAGGTGGAAGGTGCATGCAATCTTTCTCCTGTAGAAGCATAGACAGAACAGAGAGCACAGGACCAAGAACACGGACTTTGAGTCAGAAAGACCTGGTAGATGACCTTTATAAAGTGACTTACCTTACAAGCCTCAGTTATCTCATATGTAAAGTAGGATGAATCTACCATTTATGCCAAAGAAAAGTATGTGGTTTCTAGGAATTTATAGGATGGTAGGATAGTAATTTCTGTTGGCTTCACTGGAGACAAATCAGGACTAGACCCAGTCACTGGGCTCAGAAACTTCTCACCCAGGTGGACAACTTTGTAGAAAGAAGGAAAACTGGATTTATAACAATTCTCTTTTTATAGATGAGAGATTTTGTGCTAAGTGAGCAACACAGAAAAATAATTAAGATCAATGCAAACTTTTGTTTTCCTATTTTCTATTATTCAAATGCATACTTACAAGCTTCAAAACTTAAAATTACAGAAACAAATAACAGGTAACCCTGAGCCAGGTGAGAAGCCAGGGTTCAATCCACTGTTCTCTTGTTCTCCACTATAGGACAGGTCTAAATTAAATGCATGAGTTGAGATAAAAAAAGTAAATGCATATTGCATGTAGTCTCTAATTTAGGTGGTTTAAATGGGGAGGGAGCGAAAGATTAACAATGCTTAACAGCCATGTTTTCCTGGGCTAGGTTATTTTCATTGATTCATGTCACCACTGGGTTTATATTCTATTACTTTTCCCCCACAGGATGCTTGTGATAAGTGGCAAAATGCTCAAAAGACTCTCCAATAGATGCATTTACTAAGAATATTTTCCACTGCGTGGCTAATTTATTCTCCTTGTGTCCCAATAAACTCTACAAGCAGAAGGTAGAGCATTCTAGGCTCTAGGAGCTCAGAATAGCAGAACGCATGAAGAGTAACACCTACCATCCACTGAGCACCTGCAATGTACCGGATACGCTTTTAATTGCTTGGCACACTTTGTCTCATTTTAAAATCCCAGCAAACTTCCTAATGTAGATATGAATGTCTCCTTTTACAGACAAGAAAATGGAGGCTAAGGGTCAAGGTTACACAGCTTGTAAGTGCAGATTTGAGGTTCAGACCAAGATGTGCCTACCTTCAGAGCCCATGCTCCCATTCTACTGTCTACATTTCCTTCCTTAATAGCAACAAGAGTTTCTGAATTTACCAAACAATGCATAAATATAAATAAGAAAAGACAGAAGGCCAGTGCCATTAAAATGACAAAGTGTATATTTAAAAGGAAAAAAAGATCTCCTTTATTCTGTGGGATTAGAATAACTGTTCTAGACCATTCTTTCCTTATACACACCGAGCACATACACACATGCACAAGGGCTGATTCTTCACTTGACTGTAATGACTTGATGGTAATGCTAGCATTAATTTTTAAATACCCAGGAACATGATTCAGTGACAAATATACCACACAATTGCTCATGACCTTCAGCCGACCTCTTCTGTCATTTTGGGTTTCATGGTCTTCATCAATAACACACAGCTACCGTAAAGCCTGTGTGTCAAACTGAGAAGCAGACAAACTACATCTAAGATAGATGGGAGAGGAGTCAGTAACTTTCAGAAAAATACTAAATTCTAAAAGAAAAAAAAATCTGCATAGAAATAGCAACTCTTTCTGCACCATTGATTGAATTTGGACTTTATTTGAGCAGACCAAGGGAACCCACAAAAGGGTTGCTAGCAATTCATTAGCATTTAAGAGTTGTCTGGGGAAGAGTTGTCTACCCTCACTGCATCCTCTCACGCCTCAGTCTTCTCTCGGAAAAGTAAATAAGAAGGTTGAACTGCAGGTTCTTCAACATCCTTCTAGCTCTAGAATCTGCCCCTCTCTAGCCTCTTCCCCCTTGTGATCTACAGCATGCATTTCTAAGGTGGTCACAGTAAAACGAATTCAGCTTGTAGTCATGACACAGAACAAAGTTAAGTAGGTCATATGAAGAGAGCACCTCTGACCTTGGCCCCATTAGTTCCCGATGGAGGCCACCAAGATAGCAGAGCTGAATGGTCACACACTGAGAAGAGGAGGGAGCTAGGGTAAGGTGAGGGGGTACACCATCTAGCAATCCTCCATCCAGAAGTCTCAGAGCACACTGTTCCAACTTAAATAGGTCAAGACACTTGTTCTGCACTGGATGCGCCAGGCACTGGGCCCTGTGCTGCAGGACGTACAGACACATTAAGACCCAACAGTATCCCTTGTGGATGTGAGTCTAGGTGATGGTATTTCAATGATGGGCATGCTCATCACTAGAGTTTGAGACTCCCAAATGATTGCTATTTAACAGATACCATTTCTTCCTCCCTTTCCATTTATATGAATAAAAATATTTTTATTCTCATATTTACAGTTATAAGACTCCCCAAGACAGCAAAATGAAATAAAATATTAATAAACTCATTAAATCAACCAGAACTGTTCTTTTTAAAATTTTCCTAGAACATGAACTGAAAATGAATAAAGGAAGGGACAAATATTCAATTAAAAATATGAAGCAAATGTTCATCCCCACCTGTAATCAAAGATATATAAATTAAACCAAAATGCCATTATTCACTTATTAAACTTTTAGAAAGCAGTACTTGTTGTTGGTGAGGGCATGGTGAGCTATAAGGGTTCCATTTGTGGGTGTATAGAATGTATGTGGGGGCCTGTGTGTAAATTGATATTTCCTTTCTTAAAAGTGATTAATATGTTATAAAATCTTTAAAAATCTGAAACCCTATGGACTAGTAAATTCACTGCTTAGGATCCAACCTAATGAAATAACTAGATACCCACTAAGTTTTATATAAGGATACTTATCCAGGTGTTAATGATGATAATAAAAAGATTAGACTAATTGTCCATTTAAGGGCTGGTTAAGGTGCATCTACATGGTAGACTGTAATATGTATACACATGCACAAATTTATGTTTTGAGATGTATAACAGCATAAGGAAATGCTCATGGTACCATGTTAAGTAATAAAGACAGGATAGAAAACCCTAGATTCAGTGCAACACCAATTTCATTTATATACAGATGCACACAGCTGGGGAGAGGGGGCACCAAAAGGAAACATACCAAAGTAACAACAGTGGTATTAGATTCTGGGATTTTTTTTTAGTGCCCTTATTTATACCTCATTGTATTTTATGATGTGTCTTGTATATTAGGTGGAACTATACTAAATAGTCATTTTTCAGGTAAAAAATGGTCAAATATTGGCACTTTCATATGGTTTACCTTCAGATTATTTCATCATCAGAAAAAAACTTTCAAAAACAAAGAGTTGTTTAAGTAGGATTATGAAAATGTATCATTAAAAATATATTTCACATTTGGAAGGCTCAGTGAGAATAAAAGAAACACCAAAGAGAAGAATAAGTGAATAGTACATTATATAAAGTTTTAAAGGTCTGTCTAGTACATGGGTCATGTGTCTTATCTACTACAGAGATTCTTAACCTGTTTCTTGTAAGCCTAAAATTACATGTTCTGTTGATAAAATCTAACCCAAGATTACAAACAGCATTCTAAAGGTCTTGATTGCTACTCCTCTAGAAAACCTCAAACTTCTGTTGTATTCACTGACATTCCATACTTAAGATGTAATTAGTCCATCAAATTGTTGGCAGTTCACTGTAAATATTTCTTCAACTGACAACTGTTCAGTCTAATGTTATGATTAATATATAACAAAGTATTGTCTTTAAATAAGAGGTAAATAGCCAAGACATAAAACAAACCAGCATGAAGCATGATGCTAACTGATACATGGATTTTTTTCTTAATGCTGTCTATGGCTTTTTTTCCCCTAATGGTGGAACTGTGTATTGTATTATGAGCAATAGGATTGTCATTTCCATTTCCAGACTTGATATTTAAATAGAGAACTCAACAGTTCCAGTTTAAGTTCTGGGGCAGTAAGCTCACATGCTGTTGGTCTCATACACATAGTGTGAAGACCAGCTCTGCCACGGTCCTCAAGCTGTTAAAAATCTCCTAGGACATAAAAAGCATAGTTAATCTGTGAAGTAATAATTTTAATAGGGCAACCGTCACTAAGTTAAGTTTCTTTAAACCAACGAGAGATGGGAAACTTGGGTCCAAAATCAAAAGGATCCTGGAATGCTGACCTTGCTGGTTGGGTCTCTGTGAAGACATGGATTCAGAAAGAGGGAGAAAGAGAAAATAAGGTACCAAACATTATGCACTTCATTTTTTTTCATAAATATTATCTAACTTTTTCTTTTTTGTCTTTTCCTCCACAACCTGTGTGAATACCCCACCTCCCCCCACTACACACACACTCCTGTCTTTTCTTCACCTCTAAATTCTGTCACACAATTATTGTTTTGTTGGCTTCACTCCATTTTTATGAGACCTTAAGTACCTCATTAACATTTCAGAAAGATTAGCAGTCATTAAGTATGGGACTGAAATTGGATAAGACTTTTTAAATCTTTCAGAATTTTTGGCTGTGTGAAAACAACTATAAAATGTGTGATAGGTTAGAATTCGATTCCACCATCGTCATATATGTCAAAGAACACATGTAAAGATTTCTAAAATGGTTTATTAAACTTATAAACTTGTTTTTAAATATCTTTAGAATGGGAGAATCACAGTCGTATACAAATGTGACAGTTCAATTACATTTTAATGAAGAAGTAGAAGTTCCCAATCTGTCCACTGTGCCAAGAGATAGCCAGCAACAAGTTTGGTTTCTGTTTCTCCATCTATTCTCCCCGTATGTACACACAGTTGCTTTCTCTCTTCCTCCCTCCCTCTCACCCTCGCTTTTTTCTGCTCTTAGAACTATATCTTGGTGTTTCTTCATGGCAGTGTCTAAATTCTTTCACTTACATACACAAAAAACAAGCTTAATGAGTAAGCTATAGAAAAGTTTTTGGAAAATAAATTTAGGTAAAGAAAGTAAAGGTAGGAATCCAAATTTTAGGCAGCATACCACAAATTCAAATCAAGATATTTGAGGTTTTAGTATAGGGGCAGTGTTTTTTAAATGACATTTAGTGCTTAAAGGATATATCAAAGTATTGGAGACTGACCTAGCCCCCCTGGGCTGCGTGCCTTAGCAAGTGTGTCCCTCAGCATTCCTGAAGTCAGCGGGCCCTTGAAACAAAGCACAATAGCCAGACTTTAATGAGTGAGGGAACCCCTCCCACCCAAAAGGTGAAAAACAACATCTGTTAGAAAACCAGATCAACTGCAGTAATGTAATGGGTTCAGCAATAGACCTAGATAATTTTAGAGACAGTCTTTATCAAAATAAAAACTGGAACAGAACAATTGCTTCAATCCAACCCTGCCTGTTCTAAACTCTCTCTACATCAATCAACACTAACTCTGCCAAGCTCATTAGAGGAGGAACTATGGACTCTAATGGCAGGGATGGTGCTCACTGTTCCCCCAAATAGAAGGTTCTCCAGCAAGGACAAGAACTTGGTGGAACTAGACTCACAGCCTGTCTTAAGATGGAATTTCTAGGATTTATTCTTACTGCATTTTGAAAATTAGACTCCAAGGATATTTTCAGACTTTTTTTTTTAACTGAAAAATTAGTCCTTATTTTTGGTCCTTACTTTGGGGAGGGTTTTATTTTCCTTGTGTGCCTCCAACTTGCAGTTACATTTTATACCTACAGAACAATGCACCGCACGCCTCTGGTATCTGCAACTACTCAGACCATTGTTAGATAACTCTGATTAGCTTGTCAAGCCCCTCAGGGCATTCGGACATTAGAGCATTTTAAGCCATGTTCTAAGGAGGTGGAAAGACAAAATCCTTTCTTTTTCTTTTCCCTGTGGCACAGGCTTCCTCCACCCACCTAATCCCCCTAAATCTCCTGGGCCTGCCAAGGGCCTGACCTTCCAGTCTCTGCAGCAGAGGATAAAATTTTGGTGGGAGGAAGGCCCAGCAGATTAAGGCCTCTGGTCAACAAATATTTGTTCAATGGACTCCAGCAGGAGTGGAACAGTTTGCCACATGCTGCCTGACCCAAAGTAACACTTAGGGACCTTCAAAAAGATTGTTCAGCTGGTGACTAAGAATTAGACACCTAGTATTGGGCAAATATAAAGTTCAAAGCCACAAAACATTATGGAAAACCAAATGAATTTACGATACTCCCCATTTCACATGAAAAATCAACACAAGTCCCCTGAAACAGAATCTGTGTATGATTTACCCAAAACCTCCACACATCTTGCTGGATGTTCTTAATCCAGTCACTTAAATTATAAAAGTAGCTGACATAAGGCCCGGTTTTCCTGAAGTTTTTACCTGCCACAGCCTGAAACCATTCAGTTTTGTTGACTCCTGCATCTGCCATTTTTATCAAAACATTTCTGGCTGCCTGAAGCCCCTCTCATCTGCCAACCCTCACCTCAGATCCCTGGGATGTCTATTCTTTCCAAATCTTAAAAGACAAAAAACCAGAGAAGGAAGGCAGGAAGCTGTAGGGAAACCTCATATCTGTGTGGCCCGCACCACTCCACCCCTCTCCCCAAGGGGCCGCGCAACTAGACTTAGGGAGGGAGGTTAGGGCCTGGGGGTCGGGGAGGGGACGGTAGCGTGTGTTTGTGTCCCGGGTGGAGAGTTAGGGGGGTGATCTGCTTAAGCAAATTCCCTGGAGAGCCTGGATAAGCAAGGACTACGGCAAGACCAGGGTGCGCTGGCGTGAAGTTCGCCTTTTCATTTTTTTTCTTAGGTAGTTGAATCACAGCTTCTTTCCCAAACCCCCAGAAGAATCCTAGGCGCTCAGCTGCTCAGCGACAAGGAGCAGGAGCGGCGCTTGCAGCCGTAGGCTTGGCCTCGCTGTGGGCAGGGCGTCTAGGAACACCCTGGCACTCTAGGCTCCACTGATGGGATAGGAGGTGAGGGGCGCGGGGGCTGCACGCGGGGATGAGAGCTCAGAGACCCCAGACCCCACAAACGAGCTGGTCGACCATATTTACGCACTCCCAGGCGAGGTTCTTGGCTTTCCCCTACCCTTTTTTCTCTTTTCTTCTCTTTTGCTTAGCCACGAGGGCCGGGGGCCGGCCGCCCAGCGCACTAGCTGGGAGGCGGCAGCGATTAGCGCCCTAATCCCTGGGCCCTGACCCAGCGGGGCCGGGTGCGCTTAGGCCGGGCGGAGGCCAGGGAGGGGCGGGCCGGGCTCCAACGTCCTGCGGGCAGGTCCGAGCCACGGGGCCACCGTGGGAACCGGGGACCTCCGCACTCGGAGCATTGCTGTCAGGTCCTGAGGGGAGATGTCCGCGAAGTCAGAGCACGCAGGCCAGGGAGGGGCTGGCCTGACCTGGGCTGTGGCGGGGAGGACGCAGGAGGTGAGACACGACGCACCGCGCGCGGAGGGGCCACGCGAACACTAACGCCGGCGGGGTCGACGGGCCGGTAAGGGAGCCCCGCGCCCCGGGCCGGGCACTGAGGAGCGGGGACCCCTCCCAGCAAGGCCGGTGCCCCCCACGCCCAGGCTGTGGGCGCCGGGCACCGCGCGGGGGCTCCGGGCGGGGTGCGGACATCTCCACAGGCCGGGGAAAGATCGGACGGCAGCAATGTCCGGGATGGAGAAGTTGGGGGGCAGCGAGGGAGGCGGGGGACGAGGCCCGAGAAGCGCCAGAGGGGCCGGACGAATGGACGTGCGCGTCAGCAGGGTCGAGGACTTACCAAGCGGCTCCCTCATGCTGCCCGCGCCGCCGCCGCCGCCTCTCGGGCCGGCCGGGGACCAGCCCTACGCGCCCCGCTAACAACCGCCGCGGCGGAGCATGCCCGGAGCAGCCGCGGCCGCCCCGCCCACCGCCGGGCTCGCCCCGCCCATCGCCCCGCCCGCCCGCCCGCCTGCCTGCCTCCAGGCCTCGGGCGGGAGCGCGGCAGCCAGGGCGCGAGCCTAAGGCGCAGACCTCCTCCCGGTCTCCTGGGTGGCTGGCTCCCGACGCTCAGGTGAGTTGGCCACCCTTACCTTTCTCTTCTTGTCACTTAGGTTTGGGCGACTTCAGCTCTGCGTGAGTGTCCACGCACACACAGATATACCCAAAAATGCTCATGTACAGTTACACACAGATGCCCCCAAACACACTCATGTACAGTCACACCAAATGAACACAAGACACTCATATACAGTGACACACAAACGCATATACACACACATACACAAAGACACACATGAAAACCTATACCCACACACACTTTCACAAAAACACAATCACACTGAAGGCATGAAGACCAGCAAACAGTGACAGAGACAACAGCTTAGTGCTGGAGATTGCCTTCTTTAAAAAAAGACATTTGAGAGTCTTAGCTGTAGGCTGGAGGAGACCTTAAGGGTCAGCTGGTTTGTCCTCTCTTGTGACAAATGCAGAAACTGAAGCCAGGAGTGGGATTTGCCGAGAGCCAAGACCAGAAGGTGGGGTACAGTCAGACCAGAGTGTACACTGACCGACGCCCACCCACTCCACGTTCTCTGGCTGCAGTGATGAGCTTGCTGCCAGCTCTGTTCAGGCACAAAGTCCTTGAACTTTGGAGGGCAGAGAAAAGACATAACGGTCAACTCTGCTGATGAGCTGAGGAGAGGGAGAGGGTGTCAGCTAAGTCAAGGCCCCTGAGGGAAAAATGGATGGCAGAGCAGACTGGAGTCCCTGCAGAGCCAAGTTTTAGAAAACCAATGTAGCCACACCACGGATTTAGGGCTGTGTTTACTGCCATAACACCAATTATACCTAAACTTGCCTGCACTCTCACCACAGGTGGCCCACAGGCCGAGCCCCTCGAATGCGTTATTTTGTTTAACCCCTTACCACAGTCCTATGAGGACTCCTGGAAACGGGCTCAGGGACACACAGATAAAGTTGCAGAATCTGGCTCAAGACCTAGCAAAGAGGAGCATACGGTCAGTCTAAAACATCAAAATAGCCAGACACATGAGCACAGGAAAAGAAAAACAATATGATCAAGTGTGCTGTGCATGATCTATAGTGCATCCAAGGAAACCTTGTGTGGGAGATGGGAGCAGACAGCATGATCAGGCACTCAAGAGGCAGATGGCTTGGGTCCCAGTCTTGGGTGCTTCTACCACTTTCCACATGTGTTACTTTATTTCTGTCAGTCTCAGTTTCCTAACAAAATGGGAATAATGATAGTGCTCACCTCATAGGAAAGCCATGGGAATTAAATGAGCTAATGCCTTTTTAGGGCTCAGCAGACTACTGGCCCATAGTGAGAATGCAGAAAATGTTAGCTTCTCCCACTAATCCTTGTGCTAATAGTGCTCTGTGGGCTGGAGCCACCAGGGAAGACTTTGCCGGAAGTACTCTGATGGACAGGTGGGCTGTGGCTAGGCAGAGACAAAGGCTAGCATCTCCAGGCAGGGGGAAGAGGATGAGGAAAAAGAAAAGAAAATGAATTGCAGAGGCTTTTCTGGGAAATCACAGTTACATACAGTGGTGACATTACTTCTTGTCACAAAAGCATCTTTCAGGGATAGATTGCTTCAGTGATATACAATGCCCATTTGTCCTCAGTTCATCAACTCAATGAAGTAACTTTTTCTTGTGGGTCCCTATATGTGCCTCAAACTATGCAGATACATATGGAGCCAAATATTCCCACAAGATCATTTATCAGCCAACAAACTGAGATTAAGACACATTTCCCCTAGAATAATGTTATATTGTTGGGTTTCTGGGTCAAACCAATGGAAGTTTTATTATGTAGCTGAAGTGCTATATAGTTGCAGGAGAAAACAACATTGAAGCAGTGCTGGAAACTAAGCTAAACCAACCCAAATAAAGTTTCATAAGAAACTGTGACAGTTGGTAAAGGCAGATGTCATTGGGGGAGGTACTGAGATAGAGACACTGGAGATTCTGAGGAAGATGCCTTTGCTATGTAAAAGATTTTTGTGGTTTCTTGATACTGGCTCTTTATCAGGACTAAGTCATTCCAAAATGTTTGGCCTCCCTCTTTTTTCAGCACGGATCTATCCCAAGTCCTGCCCTAATGCTTTCTGGCCATAATAAGGCCATGTCAAATGAATGAGCAGAACCACAAAATGAAGACAGAGTGAGGTGGTGGGGCCGGGAGCAAGGTGAACACAGGAGATTTTTCTGAAGATTTGGGCGAACAATCATGAAGAGAAAAGAGGGTTGGAGATCGAAAGGACACATGAGTAGGAGTAGGTGATTGTCTGAATCATAATGTAAGAAGACAGAGGTGAGCAGAGAGTGCTGTTTCCCCAAAGGAAGATAAAAGTTGGTGAGGAAAATCCATGGGGCCAATTTTCCACACTGGTCACGGTACATAGACATGGGATGGTGGGCAGGAGATGTGAGCATCCGGGTATACATGTTTATACACATATACACCTATCTGGATATATACGAATCTACACATACATGGATATACATATATATGTATATACACATATGTCTGGTTTATCATATATATATGGATGTAGCCTTATGTATTTTGTATCTACACATACATATACATCCATATATACATTATTATGTTTTTAGAAAAAAGGGAATTTCTTCATAAGTCAGGACTTTGTAACTCAGAAAACACCTGCGCTGTTTTATTTTGACCATAAGAGTCACTTTCCTTCTCTTCGTTGCCACCCACTCCCCATTTTGTGCAACTTCAGTCCTTTTCCCCGCCTACTTGATTTGGAGAGATATGAACACAGGAAAAAATATCTACCTACTGCTTATGTGATATAAAATATAACATATGATTTAAAACAACTTTTCACATGATATTATTAGAAATCTGGTGCTGCCCAGGGAACATGTGCCAGGATGCACCCCAGTGTCCCCACCTCTCTTTGAGTCCTGGAGAAGGGATTTCACAGACTCAGGAAGGAACTTGGATTATTGAGTCATCAGATCAGGGCAGATGTGCAATGACCAGAGAGAGAATGTTTAACGACCTTCTTAATGAAAAAAAAAAGACAAAACCCTTGTTTCTTTAATTTACTGCCTTTTCAAGGACCCAGAATAATCCTTCTCACTCTTTGCTTCAGGGCTCTTCTGTGAATACCTACTATAAGGTTTCCTTTAGCTGACTTAGATATTCTTTGATATTTTTATGAGTCTGAAAAACACTACCAGTTCTGGGTTTTTTTCTTTTAAAGATTAATATTCTTGATAAAGCCTTAAAGTCTTTTTTGTTGGCTTGTTCTAGAAAGTCAGACAATGATTACACAAAAACAAGAGAGAGTTTTATGTCAACAGGTGTTAATAAAACTTGTGTTTAGATATCACATGCTGTATATTAATTCAGAAGCTACTGAAAAATCATTTTTAACCAGGAACTAGAAATCTGCTTCTCAAAGTGTGTTCCACTACTTCAGGATCAACTGGGAAGGGTTAACTAAAAGCCAGATTTCTGGGCCTCATCAACACTGAATACAATCAGAATTTCTAATTCCTACAGTTGAGGCCCTGGAATCTTTAATACCCAGATGATTCATACACACACTAAAGTTTGAGAAGCATGAATAGAGTACAGGAAATAGAAATAATGTGTCAAGAGCCTGAAAGAATGATTAGTACATAATCAATATTTTAGAAATCAGCAGCCATCAACATGATTGCATGATGATGAAGAAGGGCCAGGGCCCTCAGGAATAAAGAGCAGTAGGTGTTTGTTCACTGGTGACTTAGATGATGTGATGCTGACCCAAACAGAAAATTTACAAACCTGAGGATTAAGAAAAGGATAAAAGATAGTTTTCAATCATGTACCTTCATTCTGAGAATGAATCTGCATGGACATTGCATGAGAAAAATCATTTTTAATTATTTGCTATCTCTTTGTCAGCTCTTTCCTCTGTAAGACTGTACATTAATGGCAAACAGCCTGTCTGCCTCCCAAGCTCTATTGCCACTCACCTTAGCAAAGGGTAGCTGTTTACTAGTGGCTGACAGTACATTCCAAGCATCTTCCTGTCTGTAGTCTACAATGCTTTGCCAAATTCATAAGGAAAATCCTGTTTTGCTGCCCTTCAGGGAATGACAGTGGCTGGCTTGGGTCTCCCTGGTACACAGGGAGATGCAAATATGGCTTCAGGAAGACAGTGGTGTGGCCAGAGTGGTCCAGACAGGGGCACCCCTGGGCTGCCTCTCCCACCATTGCATATCAGCTAAGCAAGAATCAACCACAATTAATTTGAGTATTTTCTCTAACCCTGTGTGACTTTTTATTTGAAAGATGGAGAATATGTGAACAACTGGGAAATAAGTTGATTATCAACAATAATTGAAAATAAGTAAATAAATACATAAGCCTCCATTTGGGGAGAGAATGACATATCAGGCTTTTGTTAAGTGGGTGATAGCTAGCAACACAAGAATGACACCAAGTTTGAAGGGAGAAGCACCAACTACCTTTCATTTAATGTTTCCTGTGTGCCAGGCACACTTGGCTGGGCCTTGTCTCATGTTCTTCCACATAGATAAGGGTGGCATTGATTACAAGAGTTGTATGATTTTAAAGTAGTGACTCTAACTGAGTTCAAAGAGAATATAAATGTCCCATGTAAGTGGAGGGAGCCGGAGGATATTATGCTCAGTGAAATAAGCCAGGCGGAGAGGGACAAGTGCCAAATGATTTCCCTCATTTGTGGAGTATAACAACGAAGCAAAACTGAAGGAACAAAATAGCAGGAGACTCAGAGACTCCAAGAAGGGACTAGTGGTTATCAAAGGGGAGGCGTGTGGGAGGGCAGGTGGGGAGGAAGGGAGAAGGGGATTGAGGGGTATTATGCTTAGTACACATGGTGTGGGGGATCACGGGGAGAACAGTGTAGCACAGAGAAGGCACATAGTGAATCTGTGGCTTCTTACCACACTGATGGACAGTGACTGCACTGGGGTATGGGGGGACTTGATAATATGGGTAAATGTAGTAACCACATTGTTTTTTCATGTGAAACCTTCAGAAGAGTGTATATTAATCATACCTTAATAAAAATTTTTGTTTTAAATGTCCCATATAAGAAAGTTTTCCATATCTTTGCTTGCTTGCCTTCGTGAAGCTCCCATGGCATTTTGTTCAAGCGGCTAGGATAGCCTTTATTATGGTATAGCTTGGATTTGCTTTATCAGCATTTATATTTTAGTTCAGCTACTAGATTCTGAGTTCCTGGTGGAAGGAACCATTCATCTGGGTCCTACCTGTGTTTACTTACGTTCTGTATTTGTCTATTTGGCATCCAGTAATGACAGGGCCAACTCAACAGCAACAGTTGTTTACAGCTCCCCTGTGATCTAGAGTCTGTACTCCAAACCAGCTCCTTATTTATCACTCACATGCCAAGCCAATATTTTCCCTGCCCTAGGTCAATCCAGACAACTAGGAGCAGCCCCTGTGCCCCAAAACCAACCAAACTTATTTAAGCCAGCCAATCTTAATCTTTCTGCAGCCCTGCCCTGCCTTTACCATAGAGATCCCAATAAAGGCTGGGCTCTCTGCCCTGCCCAAGCTCCCTTCTGCCTCCTGACAGACACTGGCACTTTGCCCCGTGGCCCTGCCTGGCAGGCCATGCCCCTTGTCCCTAGGAGGACTGTGAATAACTTTAANTGAATAACTTTAAACTTTTCTTTCAATGGCCCTTACCTCCCCATATGGTCACTCAGTCACCTTTATAAGTTAGGATTCAGGTTTATAAATCAGTCCCTCTGTTTACCACAGCCTGGCTGCCATACCTTTAGACAGGTAGGTGAAACACCTTTTGTTAAGTTGAATTGTTGACTATCTCTGGAGTAAAAAATATTCATTTTAACTTCTATTGTGCAATCACGAGTTATAAATCGTTAGCACATGAACAGGATCAAAACAGTTTGCTGAGAGCCAAGGGTTACCAAAGGAAAAATGACCAGCACGTTTTCAGAAAATGGTTAAGTTTTCTTGAGTTCTTTGTCTGTTTTAAGTCCATTTTGAGTTTTACTTTTGCTTTTTCTGTGTTCTGTCTTAAACCCATCTACTGTCCTCAAAGTCTGTTTATTTGCCTCTTAACTACCTGGGTGATGGATATACATCAAAGAGATTGTGGGCTACTTGTTTGGTTTGATTCAGCAAAAAAAATAATTTCCTAGAAGCAAATAATACAAAACATGCAATTAAGTGAGGCCAAAGAGAGAGTAATTAGTGGTTTGTGGGAAGGCAATGAACAGACAGGAAATATAAGTCTAAGGAAAGAAAATCAATCATTAGTGAAAGTCAGCCTTTCATCAACAAGAGTTAAAACCTAATAATGAAAGTCCAAACCCAATGTCTCATTTGGTTGGAACAGTTGGTTAGTAAGCTTCTGGACTGTTGCTTGCAATGTTTCTTTTGTCAGCCACCCTCCTCTGGTAACTTGGTCCATTTTTTCCAGTTGTCGCTGATAAGGCCCTGCAAGTCTCCTCATGCCCACATCCCCAGAGCCTCTGTCCCCGAGTAGGTCCCTGCAGCGCACTGCCCTGAGGAGAGGCTGAACTGCCAGCAGTGTTCAGGTGGTCAGGGAACTAAGTAAGTGTCCTGTCCTGTTTTCTCAAAGTAGTGAATGTACTAATTCTTTCTCTAAACATTTTTACAGTCTCTTCTATAGTTCTTGATGCCTGGAATGTATATTAGACCTTTTGCTGAAACCACCAAATACCTGAAGGTTACCATAACTAACTAGTCACAGATGGAGCATTAAATCCACCCCTATATTTTCCCTCTACAGCATACACTAGAGCTATAATATTATACATTCCTGGAACAGATGCTATTCATAAACACAACTAATATCTTTTCCAGGCAATACTGCCTTACTCATGGTCAGGGGCTACCTGTTTATTTTATTGGGGCTACCTGTTTATCAGTAGGTCTATGAATAAGGTTATGATGCGTTTTATTGTTGCAGTATTAATTGAAAATGCAGAACATTTCCTGGTTACTAATTCTTTGTTGCCATCTCACAATAAATTGTGCTAATATTATCATTATTTTTGTTGTT